GCCGAGCCTGGCGTGCGGCGGCGCCTGGCAGCGCGGCGGTAGGTGACCGTGGGGAGGGGGGCGCTGAGCTCAGGTGCGTCCTGCCCGAGGCGCCGCGGGGGGAGCCGTCTCGGGCTGCCGGGGCCTGGCGCTGCGCGGCCTCGTGGCGCAGCCGGGCTCGCGCTCTGACGCGGTTTCAGTCCAGTCGCGTGGAAAAGCCGCTCGCTGTCCCCTCGAAACGGCCGTGTGGCTGCGCTCGTGTGAGAGAGCCCCTGCAACCCCCTCACGTGTGGCTGTTTTTTGCTTCTAGTTTTGAGTAGAATTTAAGTTGTTTAGAATGAATTCATCTAGAACCGGGAATTTAATTTTTTTGGCCTTTTATTCACTGTCTCCGTCATTCATGGTCCGTGCCCCCGCTGCGCCCCTTGAGCCTCATGCCGTAGCACCCTGCAGACAGTGGGGTTGGTGGGTGTCCGCCTTCGCCCCCTGGTCTCATTTGCTGCTTGACTTGGAGCTGGGCGGCTTGAGGATGGGAGTGAGGCCTGAGCGCGTGGACTTGTCAGTCTGTAGCTGTTGACTCTGTAGCACCTCTCTTGTTTTCTTGGTTTCTTTTTAGCTGTGTTTCATGCTGGGCCTATCAATGTTTAAAGGAGCAGCATCCGATCAAATTAAAGATGGCATAACTTTATAAAAAAAAAAAGCCTCAAAACCCCTCTTGGGTTCAATAAGTTTGTTGACAACCCAAAAAAGACTCTTGTTTTTTTTAAAAATTGGTGGGTTGTTTGTTTGGTTTTTTTTAACTGCTTTCCTGAAGCAGTAGGTACGGTGTTTGAAAGTGAAGATAACCCTGCTTTTGAAATCCAAGTGTTTCACTGAATTAGTGTCACTTGCTCCTAATATCAGCAAAGAAATAAATGTTCCCAATTTATAACTCTGTTTCTCCCACAGTTATGTCAACTTAAACTGGGTACCCTTTATTTTCATTTAAGAATCTTTTCAGGCTTGTCTAAACTCTTGCTGTCTTTGAAGAATGACAAACTGGGTTTAATGAGCTGTCTCCCTTGTAGCAGAGCACGGAGCTGGTTTTGATTCATGTAAGGATTCTGGGCTAAATATGTCAGAGAACATCTGAATCGTAATTGCCTGAAGGAAATGCAAACTTGAGATCAGTAGACGCTTTCTGTGGCTTTTTTTCTCCCCACTGGAGGTTTTGATAAATATCTTCTGATGCTGATGATGTTTCATGGTCAGTTGAACTTTCAAAAATATATTTTTATAGCTTATTCCTGACAGTCTTCAAAACTGCAGTTGGCCACTTTTTTCCCCTCAAAATCATCATGTTTTAACTTAAACCAAAGTATTGTAGAGATGACTTATCCTTAAGTAACCCTGTTCTATCCAGATCTTTGCTAACTTGCTGTCCTCTACAGAAGATCCTTTAGTGACATGAATCTTTGGCATAACTTGGAGGTGATGCCTCCCATGCAACAACCAATGCATATTTGAGAGTCTCTCTCTTTTATGAGGAGCCTCATTTCTAATTTTTTTCTACCAATGTTTAGAAGTTAGCTAAAACCCTACTTTGAATTTGTTTGTCTGTGTTTAAATCCTTATGCTTTCACTGGGGTATGCCTTAGTTTCAGAGATTCCCCTATTTGATTACAGCATGGGACACACATGTTCAGGTTGCATATTTTGTTTCAACTATTAAATGAATTTAAAGGTCACAGTGAAACTGGTTTGCAATAATCTGTAACAGTGCCAGAGAATAGTTATCTAGATGTGCTCCATATGGGTTAGAATAGATTAAATTGCACTGTCTCAGACTTAAAATTTAGGAGACTGAAGGCTGCTGTAAAGAAAAATCCACCCAAATAGTCTAGACGACCACCCTGTCTGTGCCCTGATGTTATCTGAAGTTTTGGAAAGGGTGTCCAATAAATCAGTGATTCTAAACCTGAGTGTGCAAACCCCTACACATAGTTTATGAGATAAACCCAGAGATTTCAAATAGGAATCTATAGTCTCAGAAATTTGCAACAGAAGAATTGGTCTATTTTTTCCTAGTTAAAAATAAGTGAAAGCTAAAATCTGTCATTTTCTGAGGGATACCTTGAGGTTGACGACCACTCCTATAAATTAATTGTAGCATAGATAACCCAGGGGTGAGCAAAATATAGCCTGTAGGCTGGATCTGGTCTGCTAACTGATTGGATCTGGCCCATGGGGGGTGCCTGACAATTGATTGGATCTGGTCTGCAGCTGCCCCTGTGGCTACCTTCCACCCACTCTGCTTGCCTGGCACAGTGAGCCACCTGTGGATAACCAAGTGGGTGGAAGGCAGCTGGAGCCCCATTCACTGGAGCAGGAACAACCTGGCTGCAGCTCACCCCCCCCCCCCCCCCACACACACACACACACCTAGAGCAGGAGGAGGAGAAGCTGTTGGAGGTGGGGGAAGCCAAGCAGCATGTGCGGGGTGGCAACCATGCTGGGAAGCTGTGCACACTGACTGGGGCTAGCAGGCACAGGTGGGAGCCCAGTGCTGGCTGCCCTGGGCAGCAGTGGGTGAGGCTGAGCTCCATGCAGGGCACTGCACAGACTGCACCTCCCTAGTGAGCTCTGCAGCATGTGCCCTCTGCCCCCCTCACTCCCCCCATACCTGGCTGGCTCCTGGGACCTTGTGCCCAAGCAGCTGCCCCCCCTACCCCCACATTCTCTTGTACGTTGTGTGTGTGGGGTGTAAGACTATTTTGAGTTATTATGCAGTTGCCTCTATATATGCCACTCAAATCAGGACAAAAATACTTTTTTTAAAAAAAGTTAAAATATGTTAGAGTAGTTGTTTAATTTTTAGTATACACTTTGTTTGTTTTTTAAATCTATAACTTGTTGAAATGATACCTTCTAAAATATTTCACAAGTGTGGCCTATGACAGCTCACCAGAACTCATTAAGTGGCCCTCCAGCTGAAAAAATTGCCCACCCCTAACCAAAATGCTTTGAGCATAAGCTCAGGACCAGCAGTGTAAGCTAGGCATAGTTTCCCTGTAGGGACAATTCAACATTGTTAACACTGGAGAATATTGTATGCAGAGACCTCTGCTTGTAGAGGCTCAGAAAAATCAATTGTAACTTTATTTCAATTGTATTTAGTTTGTAAAGGGAAAAATTATTTCCTATTTCTTCCCAAAGTAAGTGCCTTTGTCAAGTGAAACAACTTGGGATCCCCTCAATCTTAAATTCAAAATATCTTGAAATTTTTAAATAAGGAAAATGCTAGGAATGTATTAAAAGCAATTCAGACATAAGAAAATCTAGTACCATTCTTTCCCACGTGTTTGTCCAGTTTGGTTATCCATTTATATTTGTGACCACCTTCATGCGTTTCCTTATTTAGACAAGTAAAGCTTTGTTTTTGGGATTTAAATATTCTTCAAAAACAAATGCCTAACTCAAATTTGATTAACCAGTAGCTTATTTTTTAGTAATAAGACTTCTGGTAGTGCTGGAGTGATTTATTTTTCACTTAAATTGCCTGGTCATTCTGTACCAAAGTGTTTACAGCATTAAAAATCAAGCTGTTTCTGATGCAAGTACTGACTCTGCAAATGGCCTTTGCACTTTTCCACTGCCAGAATAATTTGGACAAACGAACCCGTTTTCTAGTAGTATTCATTGAGACGTGTATGCTTCTTCCTGTTTCCTCATGGTTCAGAATATTAAAAGCATAGGGCTACACAGTGGGGGAAGGGGATGTATGATATGTCTTCAAGTTCCTTCCAACTGCAGTAACAAACAGACCAGGAACCTCTGGAGTGGTACCACAGCCACTTTAGTTTTTATTAGGCTTTAGCTTCCTGGTTCTTTCTTGTATGGCTTGAGAGTTTAGCATGCTGGTGTGGTTATGTGGTTCTGATGTGTTTAAACTTGAAACAACCTGGGGTTCAGAAGGGTCTGCCTCATGCCTTGCTGTTTTTTGTTTTCCTCTGCTCTTTGGGTGTATGTATGTAAGATTGGCACTGTTCGGTTAAAAATCATTTGCAGCCTTGTTCTAATCTGAGACCAGAACATTGAAAGTCAGAGGCAAAGCTGGGCAGTTCTGTGCTTGGTGGCAGCAATTGTAGCTGGACTGCCAGCAATGGTTGTTGGGCCAGTGGCTTGGTGACTGTTTTGTTTCCCCCCCCCCCGGCTTGGTGACTATCTGTGTGTGTACCTTAGTGTTACCCTGTGTTTACACTTCTGTTGAAATAAATTTTAGTGGTCCTTATGCTTGTGTTATAAGCTTAGCAGTTTAACTGTCCAGCTCTGAACAGTTGGCTAAAATAGTCATTCCATTAACATGCAAGGCCCTGGTTTTGCAAATGAAGTTCCAAACCAAAGCTATGAAGCTCTGATCTTGAGATACTGGAGCCAGAGCAAAGGGTGATGTTGAAGGCCAGTGCCATATTATGGATCACTTACCACCTTTTCCCTTGTCTGCTGTCTTCAGTTCCATGCTTAAAACTGCTGGCTTCTACCAGGGTGGATAGAGTTCACTGTATCAGGTTTCTTCTTAACATGCAGCACCAGATATGTTATCTTGGGTGCTTAAAGATAAAGGAAAGAAACCTGAGAAGGTAGGGCAGTAGAGTTTTGTAATGTTTGTAGTTTTTTAACATATGTATTGCTTTGACAGGTAGAAACAGGTGACTGGGAGAGAGAAGAGACCTTGTGTTAATCATGTCCAGGAGAAGATCAGAGAGCAGAAGCCTTTCGGGTTTGTTGTCTACATCTCTTCAGACGCAAATCAGGACAGATAATTTTCACAACTTTTATGTGCTTGAACCTGAGGAGCTAGGAAGGTAAGAACATTCTGTTTATCTTGTATTTCTGGAAAAAGGAATTTGACTTTGCATGTAAGAGGGGGAATCCTTGCTGCAGTGGAGTCTTTATGGAATGCCCCACAGAACCTCTCCTGTGTCACTTCCTGGTAAAACACAGGAAGCGTGGGGGAATGAAGTATGGGTTTTTAATTTCCCACCCCCTCCACTTATAACAAAAGACATGGGGTCTGCTTATAAGGGTGGGGCCATGTTCATGGCTTACTAGCTCTTTCTACACAAGAGTTTGTAGGTTTGTTCATAGGGCTGTCTTCTTATTATGGGAGCACGTTTTCTTCTTTCATATACGTGTCATACTTTGGCAAAATGCTGAAGGAGATACAATCTAAATAAACTCCTACAACACAACACTACCATTTTCTCTAGCTTTATGTTGTACAAGGTTCTCTGTAGCCATAAGAGCTTGCGCTTTAGGCCGTACCTGCACCTTGAAGTGTCTTTTGGTACTGTACACAGTGCTATCAGGTTCATCCTAGCTTTTGTTGGTGTAACTATTTCAGTGGATGTTACAGTACTGGTGAGGCCCTCTCAGCTGGATGGTTAGCAGGTCCCACCACACAGGAAGCAAGTGCAGTGTCTGAACTAGATAAAGCATTTGTCTTCCTGGAACACTTCCTAGCCACCTTTCCCTTCTCCCACTCTTTC